ACTTGCCAAATCCACTTTACGATAACCCGGAAGGAAGAAATTTTCTGCCAGGACTGTCCTGATGTTTCCTTTAGTGTCAATAATTCGAAATTTTGCTCTGGCTGCCATCCATAAAGGATTCAAGTCTGATATTGGACTGGCAGTACATATATTCCCTCCAACTGATGCAACATTTCTTATCTGTGTCCCAGCAAACCATTTCAGTTGCTCAATAAAAGCCTTACAAGACGAAGTTTCATGAACAGCGCGCTCAGTTGCCACCTTTCTGAAAAAATTCAGAAGATCAGATAATCGTACTGCAGCACCTATCTCTATGCCATCATCCTTTGCATCCAAAACATTTAGTTCTGGCACATGCATTACAGAAATTAGAACCCAATATGACATTCTCTTTAGTCTCATCTCAATTCCTACCTCACTATTACCAACTAGCAACTTTGCATCAGCATATTTGGCTTTTAAATCCAATAGATGTTGAAGTGTTAAAGGCCGATACCACATTAACCCACCAACTCCACTCAAATTTAACGAGGTCGGTTTCCTTAACAACAGTTCTGGAGGAAAAATAAGTTCCTTTTCTGTGTATTTGGTCCCATCTATTTCATTATACGAAGTAGGTTCATATCTATTATCACTGCCCACGCATTTATCATTTTCATTTACATTGTTTAAATTACATGAGCAGGGTTTTCCCGTTGATGGGCAAACAGACTTGCCTTCTTCAAGGTTCAATGAAGAAACACCAGTATATAAGTCATTGCTAGTTTTTGCAAAGACCCGGAATGCATCAAGTATTGGTCTGTAACCAGTGCACCGACATAAATTTCCTGCAAGGCATTCTTCAATTTGTTCTTCACTAGGTGGTGTTTGACTTGACCGCAATAATGCATACATGGACATGACAAAACCAGGTGTACAAAATCCACATTGTGAACCATGGGTGCGAGCCAGGGATTCCTGAAGAGTTTAAAGGGGTAAGTTCAAGTATTGAGAGGTATTACACATTTCACAATGAAAACCAAACAAGTAAAGGATACTCAAAACAGTACCATGCAACTATTACACAAGCATGATAAAAGAAGATAGTACGAGCATGTCTCACCTGGACAGGGTGTAGTCCACGCTTGCAGCTTCCCAATCCCTCCACTGTAATCAGATGCATCCCTTCTACAGAATATAGTGGTGCTAAGCAAGCATTGACAGCATAATGTCTGGAAGAATATTTTCAAAATGAAAGCGCAACTGTGATGTTAAGATAAAAGAGTGTAGTGTTTCACATGTAGGAGCATCAAATCAGCAAGGCATGAGAAAGACACACTTACGAGCATTTCATCAATTTTCTATCATAATGAGAAACCATAACTGTGCAAGCTCCACAACCACCTTCCCCACAGCCCAGTTTAGTCCCAGTCAGACCTATATCTTTTGTAACAAATAGAGTGGAAAACCATAATTAGTTTAGCTTCACCAAGGAGAAACTTTAAAAGGACAAGCAAATTTATGTTAGTTAAAAATTATTGTGAAGCGAAGTGATTTATGTCTTGATACTTTTATCCTGAAAGAAAGTTTGGTTTAAAACTTAGTGTGTATGGATTAGATTCACGGTGAGAAAAAAATCAATTAATTTCCAACGGTGAAGTTAAAGCAATTAATAGTTGTTTCTTTCTTTTCAAGGGTATCACCATATGATTTTGTGGGGTAGAACCAATTGCAATTCTCACCTATATGATCCAAACACACTATTAGAGTAAAATTGTCAACCTAACGCAGAAACTACTTTTTAATTTTTATCACCTTTAGTCAAACTGAGATTTGGAGGTAAAATTAATTTTACCTAATAATAACCGAACATATGCATCTTTACTAAATCAGTTTGACGGGAGTCTTAAGGTCTATTGGAGAAGGCTAGAAGAGTTTCTTTTATAACCTTGAACCAGCAGAAGCTCTTTATTTTTAATTCAAAAGTTTTTTTAAATTTGTATTTAAACATTCTTTCAATGTATATTTTGATTAATTTTTAATATTATCAAAATCAATTACAAAATCACGTTGAAAGGCAAAGCTTTTTTATTTTTATTCTCTTTTTCTCGCTCTCTCCATCTTATTTTTTATTCATTAATTTTCTATCAATCAAGACATTAGGAATGAAACGAAGACTTTTAATATTCCATTCCGCTATCTTATACTCATTTATTAATTAAATATATTTTTATTTACATAAAAAATATAAATAAATAAATAAAAAAAGAATTCTAAATATAGAGTAAAATTATAAAATTATATTAATTAATTTTTTTATATAAATTTAAAATAAAATAAAAATTACATAAATTATAAATTATAAGTTAAATTTTCTAAATATTTAAAACAGATAAGTACATGCACGTCTCTTTCTTGTATTTGATTTGAAAAAATGGATATTGGTTGTGATTGAGATGGGGAGGCATGCATGAAAGGGTACAGGGTGGGAGAGAACCAGAATCAGAGAGCCCCATGACGTGGCCTAATAGTATTGTTACGGTGTCAGAGGGTACACCCAATTAGATAATTAATATATTACTTTTGTTTTTAATTACAAAACTATTTCAATTAAATTATACGATCTTTAAGAAAATTTATTTATTTAATTATAAGTATTAAATTTCTATTTTTATTTTACGCGACTGCATACACAAGGCAGGATTTGAACCTCTAACCTTGCTTAAGTGTGGGTCAACCCTATTGCTGAACCACACGCTTGAGATTGCTCTCTTTTTTTATTTTTTTTTTTGGTTCGTCCTGCAGTGACTAATCTCGCTACGTTGGAGGCACCTCAAAGGGTGGGATAGCTGAACCACACGCTTGGGGTTGCTCTCTTTTTTTATTTAATTGTTTTTATCTAATTAATTGATATTTAATAATAAGAAGAAAAAAATTGTTTTTTATTTAAAAAATTATTAATTAAATAAAAAATATTTTTAAAAGATATAATTAATGTAACTAACAATTAAAAAAATTCTTTATATATTAAAGGAATTGAGACACTTCGTATAATTATTTAAAAAGAATATAAATTTTTTTTTCATATCGAAAGAGTATAATAATGGTCCACTAAAAATAAAATTCAAAAAAGTGTTTATTAAAATATATCCCTTTTATAGATATAGATATATGGAGATAGTTTATGATTTAAAAAGTATTTTATAAAATTATAAATTACTGACTTTTAGAATAAAAATTTATTAATTATTTATTACATTCAAAAATAATTTTATTTTAAGTGACAAATTATATATAATATTTAATACAATAACTAAAATTGAATTAAATGATAATAAATGTTTCTACATATATTAAGTGATTAAAATTTTTTATGTATTTATATATTCTAATTTTAAATCACAAAAGTCAAATCAAACTAAATTAAAAAAAATAGATTTAATTTAATTCAAATTTTATATTAAATCATGGTTAATTTTTTATTTAGTTGGAGTAAGTTTTAAACAAAAATGGAAGTGAATCACACCATCAACAACCCCCATACAAGGACAACACAAGTCCCAATTTTCTTGAATTGCATGTGTTTTTTGAAGCGGTGAATGAAGAAGCGAACTCCAAATGAAGCATATGAAGAAATATAAAAAGATAAACAAAGGAAAGGGATGACAGAGAAAGTGATAGCATGCATGCAAGAGTACCTCTAAGATACTCGAGAAGAGATAAATGAGCTAATCCATCAGGCAACACTCTGCGAACTCCGTTAACATACAGTAAAGCTTCATTCGACACCTTCAGATCTTGCTCTTCCTCCTTCTTCAACGATCCCATTTCACTGCTTCCAATTTCGGAACGGAGCACCTTCTTCTTTTACACTACAATAAAGTAATAAACTCTTGCATTGCTTTTCACAGCACTTAATTGCACTTATATATTTATTTCTCATCAGAACCGAACAACGAAAAAAACGATTCAATTTTCTTGTATGGACACGTACCTAAATCTGACATGTTGAACACAATAACATTGTAACAACACATTAAAATTTTATATAAAAATAATAATATTTATTTTCAATCTCTCTCTTTCTCAAACAACGTTCGCCTTCTTTTACTGTTGGCTTGCCTCTTTCCCACTTTAACATGATCGGTCAATGTTATTAAACAGTGTAATTTTTATTGATGAGAACAGAACACTTTAACATGTACATATATATTTTTATTAATAAACTTTATTGTCTCTCAAACAACATGCACAAGTGGATATGAACAGAACCCATCAATACATGGCAGGAGGTTTCATCTACTGCCATATCTGTGAGAGCTCATGTCCAAAACTTCTCACACCATTTTTTCCTTAAACGCCTAGAACAAGAAGAACAATTACCTTAACAAACTCGATTCCTTCCCCTCATCAGTCCAATTTACCTTCAAATATTTCCTTTAAAAGTTATTTGAACAACAATTTATTTATTTTATTTTTTAATATTTGAATTAATAATATACTATAATTTTACATGTTAAAGTTATTATAACTATATATAAGATAAAATGTTGCATGAAAATTATTTATATATATATATAAACTATTACATATACGTTATTTTCTTTTTAGAGAATACGTTATTATATATTATATAATATATATGCCGTTATATTATAAATCAATATTTAATACTATCTATGTCATATTTATTATATATATTTTATATTTTGTATTATATAATATAATGTATGAGATAGAGGATGAGTGCTTATTTTGTTGCTCCCCAAATCCCAAAACAGGTTTTTTCTCGATAAAAAATACATTGGATATCAATATGATAGGAATAGGATGAAGAATCGGATAAACCTATCATATCATATATTGACACAACAAATAATTTATTATAACATATTAGGATAATTGTTATATTTTATTCTGACAGTTAAACGAACTCAGTCTTTTGATCATCACTACTGAGATGGTGAAAAAATAAATAAAAAATAAAAGTCAATACCATATTTTATTAAGAGAAAAACATATGAAAAAGCCCAAAAGAGAGATCTCGAATTTAGATATAAATTCAAAAGTTGATTATAGAGAAAATACTACCACTATAATGTCTTAATTACAACGGTTACCCATAACCTAATCTGTAAAATAAAATTCATTTTTCCCACTTAATTATTAAGTCATTCACTAAAGAATTGACTAGATACCAAGGAATAGATATGATATTATTTTACTTGACAGGGCAGGTTAAAAATAGTAATATACAAGTGTGAGAATGAAGTAGAGACATGTGATGAAGATTAACATGCATGCGCCGAATCATTCATGGCTGAAGAAGCCTCTGCTTGATGGGGTCTTGTGTAGGTAAAACCATGGGTTTAGAACGCTCTGCTTGAGATGAATGAATGAAAACTTCCATAATAATTGTTATGAGCAGCAGGAAAAGCATTGTAAATAAGATCCCTTCCCAGGAGGAGAGCAGTGCCGACCACCGGAAGAATTCAAAAATAAGCAATCCAAGAAGACAAGACCAACAAGACACAACCTGTGCAGACACAAAACAAACACATGACTCGAGAAATTATTTGATAGTACAGAACATTATGTTTATGATGTCGGCCAATCTCTAAGTGACACATTGAGTGATACTAGACCATGTAATCATTTCTTGCTCTATATATATACTCTTGTTTTGCAGAATCTTACCAAAGCAGATCTTTTAGGCCGACGGATTTGTTGAAGTTCTTGTTCACTGAATATTTCTGTAGTACTAAATTTCTCGAGCAAAGCATCCTTGTAGTTTAGAAAATACACATTGTTAATTGTTTGCACAATTATCGTAGTATAGAAATTTTTTAGCAATGTATGCATGCATGCATCTGATTATAAAAACAACTACGAGAACCACAGAAGAAAAGCTCAATTCTAGAAACTGGTTATAATACCTTGGCAACAAATGCGTCTTTGCACCATTGTGCTATGCCGTCGTCTGTTTCTGGAAGTTCGTCCATCTTGTGACGCTTAATTTGAACCTTCACCTGTATTTAACAGCAGGCACATTAATGAAGTTGTAGGAACAATAGTAGTTAACTATTTCTTCTGTTAGACCAAAAAACTCAAATTTATTGTTTCTGATAAAGTTGCGGTTCGCTATATCAACAATCTACACAATGCCACAAACTAATGAAATGATGAAACCAATAATGTGTGGTTTCAAATAAAAAAACTCAACTGAAAAAACAACGAAATAAGTCATTTTTCATCTTTTGGTACAAGGTGAGAGACATCTAATTTCTATCAGCAAAAAATTATTTTGACAAGCACAATAAATTCAAGAGTTTGAATGAATAAGAAAAATCATGAAATCGTGGTAGACAAATAGCAACATTTGTGTTTGTATCACATAAAGGAGGAGGGCCAATAAAAGAGTTGATTTTGGAGTACAGAAATGGCGTTTTGTGTTTTATCTAATTTAGCTTCTGTCAAGGTTTTCAATTGGCTTACCGAACTAGACATGCCTTTAAATATTCTCAACAAAGTAGGTGAAGCCTCACTCTTTGGAACTGCATATGTGCAATCATAAATGGCTGGAACGAATCCCCGAAGGTTTGCAACTGCTGTGACAAAACCCTGGAGAAAGATTATCAGCTAAAAGGTATCAAGCTATCTGCTAAAACACAATCAAAATGTGCAATTAGAAACTTATGGTGTCAATGTTGCCATCTTGGTGCAACTTAGAAAGAGGATATAGATTATAGTATATCAGTGAAAAATTATAATACTTTAACTCTCCTAATATACTAATCACCAACTTTGGTCACCTTAGTACGAGGAATCAAAACATTTCTAGGTATAGGTAGCCCTTTTGAAGCTGCAAACTCCTGAGCTTGTAGAAGCTTTGTCTGCGTGAAACGAGTTCCTTCAACAAAAAGAGCCAACCAAAAAGGCAATGGCATGTGCTCCAGATGCATAAAACCTGACTGCCACACAAAAGCCAAGACAAGTATAAATAAGTTGTTAATGAGGAAAATATGAATATGTGCATTAGGAGAATTTATTTAGATATACCTTCAGTGATGCTTCATCTTTAGTCCAGTTTCTTTCTAGAAATATATATTCAGCAAACCACATTGACCAACCTAGGACCTGCATAGATGCTCTGTAATTATTTATGGTTGTATTAGATAAGATTAATTTTCCTGAAGTAGCACCAATTTTTACAACAGGGTAAGCCCTTGGGAATTTGTAATGCAGTTTATGACTTCTGGTGCAAGGGTTCTGATGTATAAGTCAGTTCTGCTACGTGGCCATGATAAGTGCAAAATTGAAAAGTACTTTGAATTGGATTACTATATACAACTGTCAATCTTTCCTTTATGCAAGAACTAACAGGATTTTCTGCTTTATTAACAAACTACAGTGACTTTTTTTTTTTTTTTTAAAGTCGCATTTCATTATACTCTCTAACACACTCTACCGTTAGTTGAAACTAGATGTTGAAATGAGCATTGCACGTGTAAAAAAAATGTATGTATTATATTTTAAAGAGATTAAAATCATATTAAATTATTATATTTAATAAATATTAAAAAATTAAAATAGAAAATATATAATAATTATACATAAGATATGTACTTATGTTTGTGACAAATTAGAAGATAATTGACAAAACATTGGATTTTGTTGTAATTTTAGTTTTTTGAATCCACTGTGTCATTAAGGAAGAAATATGTTATATTTTTGTTTAAATATTTTACTACATTGATTTTGAAATTCAACTCAATTATAAAATGCATTGAAGGATAATTAAAATTAAAGATATTAAAAAAAATAAATGAAGCCACAAATATAAGAGAAAGCCTTGATATAATTTTTAATTTCTAAAGATCAATTTATAGATAATTTAGTTAAAAGGATAAAATTATATTTGTTAACATGACGTTTTAGTTAAATTTTAAATTGACATATTGAGGTAATATAGAATAGTTTGACTTTTATATTATAATAATAAATAGATAAATTGAAAATCATAAATTTTTGTAAATCTCACTTTTTATTTAAGTAATCTTTCTTTCTAAATTTTGTAATTTTCAATAAATTGTGACTAATGATAAAATATGTTTAAAGGAGTATTTAGGCTATGCAACAGAACAGTCAAATGTAAAAGAGAAAGCCTTGATATAATTTCTAATTTCTAAAGATCGAAGGAAGAGGGATATACAGAAACTCACAGGAAGAAATTTGACTTCTTTCTTCATAATGGCTACAGTACTGCCAAGACAACCCGAGCGCTGTCACAAATAAATCATGTGCGAGTTCAAATATATCAAAAAGAATACATGAGCCAAGAAATGAATCAAATGATATGTTGGTAAAAAATAGTGTATAGTCATAAGCTGTGCAATTGAGTGTGCACAAAATAGTTAGAAGAACAACTACACCCTAAATTTCAAAGAAAATTAAGAGGAAAATTAAATTCAGTATGGGGAATGACTAAAAAATTGTTGATTGCAAAATTAACCTCAAACTTCCCTTTCTTCCCTCAGATAAGGGCAAATGGGAAGGGGAGTGAAGGAATTTGGGTATACTTTTCAGTGCTTTTGAGAACTGGGGTCTTCTCAAAGTAAAACTAACATTTTAAATGACGATTATGGTAGACAATAAAATATTTAGACAAAACAAGCTAAATGATTCTGAAATTACTTTATTCATGCACTTTAAGGCAAAGTCCTTAGTTTTTTATTTATAAGAATTAAAAAATATATTAGAATTCGAACTTAAAGCCTATGTATACTACCTTAACTTTCCACCAGCATTAGGCTCATAGTGGTTTAGCAAAGTCTTTTAGTCTTCACACAAAAACAAAGATATAATTTATTGTCATAACATGACATACTTCTGCATTTTAATAATAAATTCACAGAAAATAGGCACCTGCGCTAAGACCCATCCAATAAGCCAATCAATGTCACTCCTGTGGTTGCAGATCACAAGTGCATTTTCTTTACCTAAAATTTTCTCAGATAAAAAAGAAAAATTGTGAGACCTGTACTATTTCGAGGAAGTACACTATGCTCAGCAACAGAATGTAAATAATGGTGATGACCAGGATGATAAAATAAATAAATAAAACAATGATTTATAAGAACTTAAGCTATCACCTTACCCATTAATTGAAAAGTTTCTGAATCTGTGTATAGTTCAATCTGCAATCCGAAGATTCAACTAGTTAGACTGTAGACTGTGGATAATGCAATACTTACTGCTTTACATAAATCCTTAGCATGTCAAAAGATAAAGACGCAAACAAAGTATTATGATGATAATTGAATTGCAAGAAAATAAAACTATCCGAAAGAACAGCATTTGCCCCCAGTTTGGTACACAAATCCTTTCGGGTGTATTTAATTTTATGCTCTATATATAATAAGTTTATACAGCAAACACGAAATAAAAAATAGTGCATGCTACAAGGCAAGCATATGAGAGTTAAATTAAATAAAAAAATATGGATGGAGTTAAGATAACCAAAACACGTGATTTCATATTAGTCTACATATTGTATCAATCTTATTATGATTAATGAAATGTCTTGCAATAAAAAAAATTAAAAAAAAAAACCAAAACACCTTGATGCCAGCCCACCAATCTATGAGCCATATGAGCTCCAACCATAGTGATTCTGTGAGCAATTTGTTTATTCTTCTATAACAATTCTTTGATATTGGACGAATAAGGACAAAGAAGATAGCCTGTAAATGCATATAGGTGAAACAATTAACTAATCAAAAGATAAAATAAAATGCGATTTTGTAAACTTGCATTGCATCCTATATCACAGTTTTATTTTGTTATATTTTCCTTTTAACGGATCGGAAGCAAGGCAATGTGCATGCAATAATGCAAATTACATTAGATACGAAGGAGAAAATTATCAATAATTAATTAATAAAGTGGCTATAAAACCAAAGAGGAAGAATATTTCAATGAATGTAGATTGAATCTTATCTTACCTGAATTATATTTACAATTAGGCCCGAGAGGATGAAAAGAACGCCTAGAGGAAGAATAACAACGGTAGCTGGGAACGCCATGGTTTCTCTCTCCTGTTACGCCACATACAGAAACTAAGATGAGAGGAAAATAAAAGTGTGTAAGAGAAAGGAATTTGTGATAATATTTAGATTTTTGTTATGAGTGAATAGCTGTGTTAGGCTGGGATATGGGTTAAGGACCGATTAAGCAGCCATAAATACCGTTGCAAATGATAACCAAATAAGCAAACACCATCTGGAATTGCTAAGTAACGTTTCTTTAAACGAAGTAAAAGCACGTGGACGAATAAACTAGCATATCCTATGATTAAGAAAATAAGCAACAATATAAAAGATAACAACTATAGTGTAAAGATTAAAAATAAAGAAATTGATTATATAATATAATTGTAATTAAATTATAGTGTAAAGTTGTTAAGTTAGAGAGGGATGGAGGAAGTGCGAACGCTGTGGATTGGCGTACCTGAGCCACTGCTTCGGGCCGCTCCAAGGGCTATGGCTTCGTTAAATTCTCCGACGAGGATGAACGGAATCGGGCCATGACTGAAATGAATGGGCTTTATTGCTCCACTAGGCCCATGCGATACTGCTTACGCTGCACCCGCACAAGCTCAACCTCCCAAACGTAAACCTAAAACTAAAACCCTCCATTCCATTTTATTGCTTCATCTATCTTTCTCATTTGGTTGATCAAGTTTACGTTTTTGCCCTTGCCGTCCCTGCCTACACTGCGCCGGAGTACGATATAATATAAATAATACTACTGTAAGTTAGTTAGTAATGATTGTGAGGATGAAGAGAGTGGACCTGAGATCTTTGTGGTTTGTGTTTAGTGTGTGCTGCTCTTTCATGCTTTATGCTGCAGATTTTTGTTGGTAATTTGGATCTTAATGTGTCAGAGGAGGAGCTGAAGCAAAACTTTCTGCAATTTGGAGAGATTGTTTCTGCAAAAATCCAGGCTGGCAAGGGTCTGGTTTTGTTCAATTTGGGGCTAGGTCGTTTTTTTTATACCCCAAGTAACCCTTTTAAGTTTTAAGCATTTTATTTATTTATTTTGGCATGTTGCTTGTCAAGGGAAGTGAGTTTGATGTGGCCTACTTTTTTTATGTATCTTAAGAGCGTGTTTGGAGTTACATTAATTTTGGATGTGATTTTTGTCTAACATGGATCATGGAAGTAGAGCCAAACATGCGCTAATGCTTTGATTTGTTTTTTATTTATTTATTCATTCTATTATACTGTACACACTGGTTGTTTGTTTACCTTTCTCATATTTGGTGTGTGCAGAGCATCTGCGGAGGAAGCCATGCAGAAGATGCAGGGGAAGATGATAGGCCAACAAGTGGTTTGAATTTCATGGGGTAGGACGCTAACAGCTAGACAGGTGATTTTGCTATTTAGAAATGGCCTCTTTCGGTTTAGATGTTTTTCATCATGCATTTCAGTTTCGGGAACTTTACGGTATGTGTTATATTGTTAGTCTTCCAGAATTTTCAGGTTGGTAATGTAGCACACTGATGTGGTTTTAGATTCTCCTGAACAATTGTGAGATTGTGAAGATGATACGCTTGACATGAGGATGTTGAGAGACATTGAGAACTTTTAAAATGGACTAATAGAAGGAAAAAAAATGATATTGTACAAAACATGTGTAGAAATGGCTGTTAAGATGTTAAGACTTTAAACAGTAATGTAGATCTTACATGGGAGAGTATTAGTTGGAGGATGACAAAGAAGTGTTTCACCAAATTTGTAAGCGGAAAATTGATATATTTTTTGAACATTAGCAATTACCATTTAGAACCCCCCATATGACAAATATGAACTTCTATTATAGCTTTTACCTAAGCATCTACTGCTCCTATATTTATAAATCTAAATCCTTGTCCCTTTTATGGATACCTTTTTGGGAGCTATTGTTGAATACGTGAGGGGGTAAATGAGTTAAGCTATTCATGAGCTATTCATCTCGTGAATTACTCGTTCAAGCTTTAGTTTAATTAATTTTGTATATTTGTTAGTTTTATTTTTAATTTTTTATTCCTTTCAAATATATTCTTAATTTCAATATCAAATTTAATTTGATTTAACTATCAGCCTAAAAAATCATTTCTTGTCCATTTCAAACCACTTCCCTTTTATCTTTGTCCATATTATTAATATTTTTTTAACTACTTATCTCTTTCAATCTATCCTTTTTTATCTTTATATCTAAATTGAAATTCAATATTTTTTTAAACAATGACCTCATGTTACAATATAAGTTATTTATCATAAATCAAAAATGTAATTAATAGGTTCATTCATTATGAATTTTAATTGTAATATACAATATAATTTATATATTCCGAAGTATTTGTTCATTTTAAATTTTAGTTATATAAAATTAAATATTTATCTTGTGTATTACAACTGCTAAAATATTAGTTACTGATATTCATGGTTATACGTGAACAAGTTTAATATCTCTGATTAGCTCAACAAATAACTCATGTATGGAGTATTGTATTTGCGCTAACACAACTTTGGCCCAAAATTGTTCTAGGACTTACCTCGTGGCTGGGGACCGCAGATGGATCCAAGTCAATGGAATTCTTACTATGGGCATGGACAGGGTTATGAAGCCTATGCTTATGGGGCTGCTCAAGATCCTTCATTGTATGCATATGGTGCATATGCTGGCTATGCACTGTACCCCCAACAGGTAAACTATTTAATGTTAACTCCAGTTTACATATTATGCAGAGAATACTTTTTTTGGGCTGCTCATGCACACGGATTGTTTATTTTTAGGTTGAAGGTGCTCAAGACCTTTCGGGTATGTCTGTGCCTACATTGGAACAAAGGGAGGAATTGTATGATCCCGTGACAATGCCTGATGTTGATAAGTAATTTTCCCCTTTCTTGTAAAAGTTGGGACAGACCCTGCTTTACATGAGCTTATTGGCTTCTCTTCATGTGTTTCTGACCGATCCATGATTGCCTTTCTAGGTTAAATGTTGCATACCTCTCAGTGCATGGAAGTGCCATTTTGGGGCGGTCACTCTGGCAAAAAACCTGTACAGCATCCTTACAGCAAGCCTAAGATCTATTTGTACTGCCTGATCAATTATGTGCATTATATTCAAAATACTCTGCAACTGCAGCCATAAATTTAGCCGCCATAGGTTTAAATTTAAATACTTGTTAATACTTGACTTGATCCCAATACATTTTTTCTTGAACACAACTCTGCTGGTGTAAAGAATGAAAGCTAGAATATAGATAGGTCGATAAGTACTATTCGATCAAATCGATCCCATTATCTGTTTATTTTAACCATTGACAAGTATTAATAATGTTTATAAAGCATAGAAACTTGAACCTTTTTTTCTCTTTCTTTTTTGGGTCTCCATGATCAGTTGAATTTAAAATGAGTAAAATTTATAGTTACTTTATATAAATTTGTTAACTTGATTACTATTATTTTGGTCCAAGTATATACGTTAATATTATTATTTCATTGTTTAAATATTTATTTAAACTATGGTTGGTGGATTCTACTTTCATCCTTTCTTTGGTGAAGAAAAAGGAATAGAGTGAAAAAGAGAAAAATAAGTGAAAAAATTAATTAAAAAAAATTATGTTTGGTAGATAAATAAAAGAAATGTGAAATCCTTATCCACTAGTTATTTCAATATTTCTATACATCTTAACTATTTTCATCACCTGATTTCTTACTAATAACTTAACTATTTTCACAGCTTCAAGAATTAATGTGACTTGTGGATAAAAATATAATTAAATAATGTGAAAGCACTATATTTATATATAATAAAATGGTAATTTACTCATTTAGAATTGTGAACCAAACTCGACCAGAATTGACTTTCTGGAATCGCCATACGTATTACGTGATACTACTGTACATCGAATATTACGGGTGTCAATGGTGCAATACTATTCGACTTTTAGCATAAAAGTGATTTGAATAAACGAAAAATTAAGTGTTATTCAATGTAATTTGGTTTGAATGTATTATATGTGAATCAAACCAAATTAAACAACTCTTTCACGATTTGGTTTACTTCGATTTTAGAGATTTTAAAAATATATTATTTAAAAATTAATTAAAATATATAATATTATATTATTAATTTAAAATTGATATTAAAATTAAAAGTATACAAATCTTTAAATTAAATATTGAAAACATCGTCACTCAATAATCTTAGTACCAACTTTTATATTACTATTTTGGTGAAGTACTAAAATACAATTTAGTAGTTTATAGTTTTGTAAAAAATACCTTTTTAAATTGAATATATTACAATGTACATTTAAACAACTTAGTAGTTTATAACTTCATAAAATACCTTTTATGAGTCATACATTATAATGTACATTTTATGTTATGTTTCAATTTATATACTATGCATTTTAAAAAATTATATATAAGTACAATTTAATTTAGTTTGAATCAGTCTCACACTCTCATTGCAAACCAAATAATACAGTTAAGAAAATTAAAAATCAAACCACTAATATTTTATTTTTTATCATTTTTTTGTTTTCTTCGATTTTCCATTTGAGTTAGGTCGATTTTGAACATTTGAGTTGGATATCACGCGTGTTGGATATAAACGCTCATCCCTTGTTCATGTCTAGTTTTCGGCTTAACTTTTTCAGAATAATTTTACAAGGAAAAGTTTAAAGAGAATTATCTTTTCATTGAACAAAAAATGCAACACCAAATGATATATTATTTTAAAGTGTTAAAGACGATGAAAATCATGCAAGTCATAAAGAATATAAAAAAGAAAAGTTATGGGCAAAATTGTTCTTTCATTAGCTCTTACTGGGGCTTAGTTTTTGTTCCTTCTCGCCAGGTATCTCGGTGTGTTTGACATAATGTAATTCTGATTCCTAATTCAGATACTTTGACAACCAAGTTACATCTTTGCAGTCTCTCAGCGCAAATGCCACGTCATCACTGCCAAAAAGGTAAAATGAAACCAGTCAAATCCATGGTGGAATCAGCTTATACATAGGTCGTAAATAAAGTAAATAGATAAGATATTTAGGTCTCAGTGCAATGGCAACATCATCGCTGTGCTTGTGGTTTGGTTCAGTTTATTTTGAAGAAACAATTGCATAATTTTGTCAATTATTTTAGAGAACTTATCAAAAATAAATTATTGTCGCAAATGTAAGCTGAACTAAAAATATTAAATAATTTTGAAAAAAAAAATTAATAGGGAAAGTTAGTAACTTGAAATTTTGACCTGGTTGTCTTAAAACATATCAACCAAACTTGAAATAACTGACTACCAGATTGAATCTAAACATACAACTGTGGCTCACATGCAGAAGACAGCAAAATCGTGTTCAGATAAAAACGGCAGGATAATGATTCTTAGAATGATTCACTAGTTTGGGTATTGAACTTGAAGGCACTATTCATAATCCCATCATTTGTTTCTGTGGAATCAGCCGAAGAGCTAATAAGGGCTTTGAGAACTAACCTCGGGAAATTAAGCTGCAATTTCTGCAACCTGTGCTTGGCACCTGCTTCACATAAAATAATCCTGCATTCACCCAGCTTACAGCTGCAAATAAAAAAGTAATAAAAACATCAGATCAAATAGCATGTTATTAGCACGGATCACAAACACTTCCTTAGCCATGCCTGCAGTTCAATATTCTCTTCCCATATCAATGCTATTTCGAGTAGAAACACAACATCCCCCACATTTTTTCTACAGTCACATCATCTCAGACCGTGAAGAAAAGAAAACATTAGAAATTAGAAGTCTTACCCAACTCGCAGGAGAGTATCATATCCAGAAAACACTTCTCCGTTGCTGGTACAGAGACGTGAAACCGTCATAGCCAACTGCATTTAAAGTAAAACCGTACGTCAGGCCGGCAATACAAATCAACCTTTTACCTTCAATATTCATGATATACGTTTTGGGGAGGAGATAGCATGGCAGAGCATAGCCTCCCTTAAAGGTTTACCGGTAAACCAATACTGAGTTCAAATTAGCTTCCAACGAATTCTATTCGTGTAAAAGGCAAATATTAGTCAAATATGCATGACATGCATAAATAAAACTTCCTGTAATGCTGGTCAGGTGAAGGGCTCAGGACTGGGGTTTAAAGGTGAACAAACACTACTGAATGCAACTCGAGAACAAAATAACAGAAGAAACTTCAGAAGCTGACCTTTTCAAAAGTGGTTTCCCCCATTCCGGTTTTATAAAGCTCGTGCACCATGGCTGTCAGGAAAATTTTGCTGAGCCTGGAACAGCTTTTCATCATCTTCAAAAAGAAATAACGGGATAAGTCTAAGACTGGGATAAAATGTTAGCATCGTTCTGCCAGATCAACGAATGTATAAGAGGTGCTTGCGATTGTATCAAATACTTAAATTTCATGGATTTTGCGAGGAAAATATGGCCTATGTATAGGGCAGTGATAACATTGATTTCCTATTTTATTATTACTTACTGCGCCCTACGACTACTGGTCCCAAAAATTATCAGTCAAGTATCACGAAGACACGAACTAAAACAGCATTTGTATTGTTTCTAGATAACTCTGAGCCACGATCATATAAAACAGAAAAAGGTTTTCGTTCATGCTATAGTCCTCAATTTAAGACATAGATCACGTTTGCAATTTATTAAGTGCATATCAAAGTTACATCATTCAGCAACATCATCACTATTAGCTTATTCTCAAGATTTCATTCACTGTCTAAGCCATATGGGAACATCTACCATTCAGTAAAAAAGGTGTTACTTCAAGCATTCAAAAATAAACCAGCACATCGCAACTTTCAACTCACTTGAATATGAGGTGCTTGAAACATTTCTTGAATGGCTGCTTCAACGTCTACCATACCAACAAGTCCTTTTCCTATAGAGCATAGCAAATGAATTAGTGACCAGAAGCACCACCTCAGAAGTCAGAAGGAATTCATCCACACAGTTCATGGTAATATCAAGCACCAGTATACATGCAATTTCGGAGCAGAATCCAAACAAACGAAACTTTTTATTTTGTTATCCCTATAATATATGAGACGGAGTGAATGTTATATAAAGCTTAGCTTGTACAAGAAGATAGAACAGCAATCATCAAGCAATGCATTAGAAAGTCATATGCTATTTCTCTCGTATATGATCAATGATCAATGTGATTAAAAAATTAAGATGCAAAGTATATGCCTGTGACAAACCGAAATCAAGCATTCAAGTATATCTTGAACTGTTAATTTCCATCTGCAGTTGCAAATACAATTAAAAGACATTTGACATTAAAAAGAGATATTCCTTGACGTCATAAACAATGGTAAGAAATATTGAAATAATATCCTAAAGTAGGAAACATACCAATGATACCATTTCACACACAACAAATTTTAATTATGAAAAGGTCAAAAGGCAGGAAACATTTCTTGATTCCATCCCCCTCCCCCCTCCACCCAACCCTTCTACTGAGATGACATGTAAAATTTGTAGGCATTCACATACCCGAAGTAGAAAAATCAGGATTTGAAATTAGCTTCATACGATAATCTGCTATTTCAGCTGCACGTCTGCATATCTCCAAAGCACGACGTGCATCTCCTGAGATTGCCGCAACCTGAATAATCAAACACAATTTTGAACGTATATGAATGAACTATTACACCAAAAAATTGTCAGGGAAATCAATCTTCATAATGGCATAGAGACTAACCTTTCTTGAAGCAAATTCTATAGCTTGCTTTTCAAATACATCAAGCCCCTTGAGGCGACTTGAAATGATTTCTTGAAGCTGTTGATAATTATATGGGCCAAAGCAAAGCCTGTGTATGCCCATTCGGCTTGATATACGAGGGAGTAACTTCTCTGGAAGATCCATAGTATTTGCTATCCCTGAATTGATTACATTATAACTGAAGAATAAGTTTTAGCAGTCCACAGGTTTCAAGTTGTTATAATCATATGGAGTCTTCAAGATTTTATATTACTTCTGCACACTGGAAGAATATAATACTGAAAAACATAATTTAAAAGAGAATTATCTTACCTATGACAATTAGCTTGGAATGTGGCTTAGTAGGCCAGTCAAGAATATTGTACAGAACCTATGAAAAAAAGGAAAAGTTCATCACAAAATGAATATTTTAAAGAGTATGGACCTAATGACAAGATTCCAGTTGAAGGATTTGTAGATTACCGACTGGTTTCTGGTTACTAGAAGATCAAGTTCATCAATAAGTAAAATACATGGCCGGTCAGCCTCTTCTCTGGTTTTCTTTCCTTCTACAAATCTCTCATTTAGCAAGTGGAGAGCCTTTTTCCAGCTGACCCTATGTCCATTTAATGCCTCATATATGACCTGAAAGAACATCAGAACCATAAGAAAGTAACAAAGGAATATGGTTAAACTAACTCAGGAAAAAATACTAAATACTTCATTAACTTTACCCTATAAATATTTTCTGGTGTTGCCAATTTCAGACCATTAATCTCCACAAAAGTGTATGGTTGGATGTTCCCTGCATCAACTTCTGACTTCAAACTCCTCATTACTGATAGTACACTCATTGTCTGCAGTTACACATGGATAAAAGCACTAAGACGCAAGACTTGCTCCATAATAGCTAAGTTAAAGCCTTATTGGATAGTAGACTAAAGAAACAATATAGAAGGTCAACTGACAATACCTTGCCAGTTCCCGGAACACCATGAATGTAGAGGCAACGCCCCAGACATTGATCGTCAGAAATAGCACCTTTAATGAATGCAGTTATCTCCTCCATTTCTCTAAATAAAAGCACGTTTTGATTATTAACTTCAGAGATATGTGAAATAATTAAAATCATGTTCAAAGTTCAACATACTTATTTCTACAAGGTAAAGATTTTGGCAGCGATGCTAACAGCAGTGTAGCCTTTGCTCTTTCAAGATCAGTCTGTTTGTGACACCTTACATGCTGTGGAATTCTTTTTGCACCTATCTTCTGAAGCCCAAAGAACCGTCCCTTGTGCAGATTCTGCATCAATTACATATTTATTTTCTGTCAAAAATCATTAATACCAAAAACAGAAAATGAATGACAAATGAACAATAATATCCATACAGCAGCTAACTGATGGCTTGTTAATGGCTGAGATTGTGCACTTTTAATATTTTCCTCTTCATATTCAACATCTTCATCTGTATCAGAGTCTGGTTCCTTGTCAAGATTCCAGTCTTCGTCACTGTCAGTCCCTTCGTCATTCTACCATGTAAGAATAACCTCATCAATACTGCCACTGTTCAATGGTTAACTTACTTCTATAATAAGAAGGATCTTACAGATATTGTGACACAATTACCTCTCTTTCATTGTCAATATCAGCGAGCCGTTTGAAACTGTGCCACTGGATGTCATATTCATATTCACATAAAAAAACATCATCTCCCTCATTGCTAGCTTTAGCATATTCTTTTGGGGTCATGACATAGCAATGTCTAAGAACAGATTCCATCTGCAGTAAATGTGGGAGCACTATGATGAAGTAAAGGAGGATAAATTCCTAGTACATAAAACAGTATGCCTGAGGCTATAGAAATATTAAAAATAGCCATGAAAGCACCCATACTTATCATCCTATAACATAAGCATTGGCTGCACAAACTGTTTCATTATTATAACTTTGTATTCCCAATTTTCCTTTGTTTGGTCTCTAATATGATATAATTGAACACAAATAATGAACAAATTTCCAGGAGCAAGATGATGAAATTTATTAGTTCAATTTATTTTCTGACTACTTAAGTAAACATGGGTGTGGAATTGCACATTATATTCTAACTTACCAGGTTAGCATGAAAATAGAACTTCCATTTCTTATTATTGAAAACAATTCAAACAACCCTATGATGTAAAGGTTTGATAAGATTCATAAAGGCAAATGAAATTGGGCCAATTTGTAAATACATGATTAAAGAAAAAGCTAAATTAATTAATAGTGGAATCATCTATCAAAATATGCAATCAGTCTTTATTATCAATGGATACTATCTATTAAATTCAAGAATAGTTCTATTGTCTTCCAGTACATCTAGATGGCTTTAGTTTTCTTTTCCTAACTAGACTTGAATATAGAAAAGGGGATTCAAGCCAGATAGATGTAGCAAAAGATTTCAATGATTACCACAAAAAAACAGTAGAATCAATTTATTAAAAATCAAGCTTGATAAATAGGAAGTTCAACTATAAAACCTTTACACACGTTAACATTTTACTATGTACGTAAGCAACAACCAAAACAATTAACACCCAGTACCTCAATGTCCGCAAAATCATTAGTTCGATATAACTCCCTTTTAAGAGTATGTGGTTGCCTCCCAACAGAAGTCTCTTCTGGAATTGTATACCACCGCACCCGACACCAGTAGTTGCCATCCACTTCTTTCCATATGCTACTCGCGTGCCCAATTGACACCAACACAGTTAGTATTCAACAAAAGAAAGAGTGAGTCATTCTACAACAAAAGACATGCATACCTTTCAATATGCGCAGCCCACAAATCACTGGAAAGAAGCTTCTCCCTCATAGTTCTAACCAATTTTTTACCCTTGGGAGGCTTTGGAAACTGAACTTCCTTACCCATCTTAAGAGCCTCACAAAACCCACATATCCAATCCCCTTCAGGAACATCCTTCAACGGTGGCTTCAAGCATTTCAAATGAAACCCACCCAAACAATCGTCACACTCAATCATCACCTCATCATTTGAGAAAAAACACATCCTGCACTCTTCCATTTCCGGATCTTCAGCATCTGAGGTAGCATCTTCTCTCCTTTTCACATACACATCATCACCCAATTCAAATTCGCCTCCATCGTAAACCACTTTTTTATAATGCACAGAGTGTGTCATTCTACAACAAAAGACATGCATACCTTTCAATATGCGCAGCCCACAAATCACTGGAAAGAAGCTTCTCCCTCATAGTTCTAACCAATTTTTTACCCTTGGGAGGCTTTGGAAACTGAACTTCCTTACCCATCTTAAGAGCCTCACAAAACCCACATATCCAATCCCCTTCAGGAACATCCTTCAACGGTGGCTTCAAGCATTTCAAATGAAACCCACCCAAACAATCGTCACACTCAATCATCACCTCATCATTTGAGAAAAAACACATCCTGCACTCTTCCATTTCCGGATCTTCAGCATCTGAGGTAGCATCTTCTCTCCTTTTCACATACACATCATCACCCAATTCAAATTCGCCTCCATCGTAAACCACTTTTTTATAATGCACACGCCTCCCAGGCAATTTCGCACTCCCTTTCCGATTCTCTGGTTTTCCCCTTTTAGCTCTGGTGACAACACTCTCCTCACCCTCCCTCTTCCTCTTCCCCTTCGCCGATGAAACCGGCGTTACCGGAGCCAAGGAAGTTTCAATTGAACGCTTCCCACTCTTCTTCTTCGCTGCATTAACGGATGGAACTGTGCGGGTTGTGGCTTTGTTTTTGCTGCAATCCTCTTCGACATAATCAATCGATCGTCGAGTCTTCCGCTTAGGGGTTGTGAGTGAGACTTCACAAGGTGCATGCGGAGGTTTAGGGGAATCGAAGAGGAGGGACTTGGCGCGCACGGATCTGCGGAGATGTAGGGTTTGTGGTGTGAGGGGGGTTAGAACAGGCGAAGATTTGAGATTGGATTGGGATCGTAGATTGGGTTTGGAGGGAGTTTGAAAAGACTTGGAAGGAGTTGCTGCAGCCATTGATGGAAGAAGAATTGAAGGAGAGTGGAACTATTTAGGGTTTGGTGAAAGAAGAAGTGAGTGCAAGAACGGTGCTTAGAATAGAACGATGAGAAATTGGCGCCAAATGTTCCCTCTCCTTTTCTCACCTTTGAACTATTTTTATGTAGTTTTTTTGTTCAATGATTATTAGGCACATGTGGGCTTCTATAATAACAGGCCCAATGCACGGTTCTTATTTGTAATTTTTCTTTTTTTAATATATTTTAAAAATTAAATATTTTAGTTTTTTTTTGTAAAGGAATATTTTTTGGTAAAGAAAAGATTTTAGTTCACGTTAATGAATATGATAAATATTTTTTTATAATTAAAATTTAAAATAAATATTTATTTTAAACATATAAATTAATTTTATTAAAAAATCATAATCAATAAACATTTTTAACATATAAATTATGTTTTAAATTCATGTTAAATTAATTTATTATGAAATATAATTTTATTTTTAACTACTAACAAATAAATATTATTCATAAAAAAATTAAACTTATAACATTTTACATATTATATCAAATCCCGTTAATAATATTGACCTTAATTAGTTTCATGTTAAAATAATTAATAAAATATATAATATTAATTAAGATAGAAAAAATATATTTTAAATTGAGATAATTAATTTTTATAGGCATATAATTTAGTAATTTTATATAAGATAATTTAAATTTTATATAATTAAGATATTTATATGTAATTTTTTAAAATTTAATTCTAATTTTAATATATTATGAATGATAAATTTTATTATTATAATATTATCCTTACTTTTTAATCTACTGATTTATTTTTTAATAAATAAATGTTAGCAATTGATATGCTATTTAACATTATATTTTTTCACATTATATTACTTATAAAAATATAATTTACTTAATCACTGATAATTTATTTCAATATATTACTTTTATCTTTGGAGATAAAATTACTACCTGAAATATAAATTAAAAAAAATTCATATTAAAACCAATCAAAATTAATAAATTTAAATTTAAAAATAATATTAGTATTATAAAAAAAAATAAGTCATATTACAATCAATCAAAATTAACAAATTTAAATTTAGAAATAGTATTAGTATTTTATCTTGTGCAATGCACAACTTTATTATATATAATATAATAAAAATTTATAATAATTTATACATAAAAATATTATATTTGAATATATAAATTATTTTTTAAAATAAGTATATATATAAATATTTTTAAACATGTCAATTGTATTTTAGATTTTTCATAAATAATTTACATTTAAAAATATTTTTTATTTATTGATATTTCATTTCATTAATTTAAATTGACATAAAAATAATTCTCTCTATATATATATATGAGATAAGAGATCAACTTACTCCTATAATAAGTCTTGGTAAACTTACTCTATTAAATAACTTATATTTTACGTTAAATTTTAATGATTTAATTGTTAAATTAAAAGTTTTTAATATATAAATAAAATCTATAAATTTTTAAAAAAATTGAAAATGATATGATATTTTATAATATATATTCAAATTAACACAAAAGCACATATATAATGCACATATAAAAAGTGACACCTTAATAGTTTAGGAATACTTTTTCTTTTATGTGCAACCCATAAAAGTGTAGTAATTAGTTATTGTTTGATAAACAACCACAAATCAAAAAATTTGACAAGTGAATATCAAAATTTAGATTTTATAATATTTTATAGTATCATGTAGATATACATTAAGTAGCAACTATATTTTTTTTAGTTGTACATAGAATGGAGAATATTCTTGAATTATTAATGTGTCATTTTTTATATGCACATTATATGAATGAATAAGGAAGAATTTACTTGCTATAATAATAATAAGTCTAATTAAACTTATTATATTTAATAACTTATGTTTTAAATCAAATTTCAATAAAATATTAAATAATTTTCAATTTCTTAATTTTTTTAAAATTTAATCTATGTATTCAAAACTTGTAATTTAACTTAAATTCATAAAAATTTAACTCAAAACATAATTTATTAAGTAAAATAAATCTAATTAAATTTATAAGAGAATATCTCTCATATATATATATATAGCAGAGGCTGCAAAAAGTTCTATATGATCAAGAACAAAGTCTGATCTTAACAGATTTTGGAACTTTTAATTTTTTTAACCCAAATCAAATGATTTTAAATGATAATCATATTCTAAGGACAAACCCCCCTTGCCTACTCTCACTGGGATCTTTCAGGAAAAGTATATGAATCCTTAACTTCATTGATTTTAATGTGGTGGTCAGCTCAACGGCTCCATTAATATATGTTAATGGTAGATAAGCATCCTTTGGATCTCATTATTGTACACCATTTATTTTTTTTATTAATTGTAATTTCGGTGCTTAGATCGAATACACGAACTCTTTAATGATTGGATATAACCAACGAGTTCAAATGTGGCAATGATTGAACCATGATTCAACTTAATAAATGAATCTGTGTAACTATGATAATAATAATAATAAAATATAATAACACAATTTTATAATATTAAAATATTAATTTATAATTTCTTAACATTTAAAAAATATATAAAAGTTTAAATCAAATATATCACGAATATTGATTAATAACTTGAATAATAATAGAAAAGTCATCAATTTTACTCTTGCTAGAAACGGGTCTTATTCCATGTGACTCTCACCAGAAACATTCAAACACGACAAGTAGAAAACCAGAATGTTAGAAAGATAACATAAAATTCATTCATGTGTCTTTACCTAATAGCAGCATATGATTGAAGACCCATAAATGGCTTTTATATTATGTGTCTACCTCTAGCATCCACCACCAACAGATCTGAACCCAGAGCATTCCATTTCATGTTGAATATTGTTGTTTTCTTTTTAACTTTCTATTTGTTATGCTACGTATGTTCTTTTTTATTGTAAAGTCCATTCAAAGTTTCAAACTATATGTTTATGTGTAAGATTGGAGCCAATAAACTGGATAAACCAGAAACTATTGTAGCTACTCATAGTTGTTCCGGAAATATATACAAATTATATGTCTAATTAATAAATAATGATTAACTGAACAGTAGGTCTAGCTTATTCTTTTTATTGAAAATTTAATTTTCTGGTTATTTGCTTCTGAGCCTGAAATGATAATAAACATAGTGGACCTAGTACATGTCGAATGCAGTTACATATAGTGAATAGCATGTCCTATTGTATTGATTTTGAACTGCATTTCTGTCTGGAGGAGTCCATGGAATAAATTGCATTGTCTTGTACTATTAGAAATTGAAGACAGGATTTTTCTAGTGAAGCTTGTGTGCTATCTTGTCCTTGTGTGGTGTTCCATTCATTTGGCTATATTTTTTTTTTCTTTCAGAATCTAGTGGTATACACCGAATTACAGTATCTCTCTTATTTGTTAGTTTATTTTACTTCTTATTTTATTGTCTTCCCAATCTAAAACATCAAAATGTTTATTCAACGAAAATCATGTTTTATAATGACAGATTATTTTTTGTTGTCAGTTTTAAGATATTATATGAGTTATAATCATGAAAAAAATGATTGTTCAAACTTTTTTTACCAAATTATAATAACACATTACACATACATGATAAAAAAAAAATAATAATAATAAGAGAATAGACTTGAGAATCATAAACTTAGAAACACACTTGGTAGGATTAACCTATCCTTATTGGGGGCTCACTGGAAATAGATAAGTGAAGGAACATAAGGCACATCAATTAGAAGCCTAAGATAATGATCGTTTTGATCTCTTCAAGCCGAGGATAACAAGAAGTATTCCAAGGTAGTCTAAATTGTAAGACACCTCAAGTAGTTGAAGCTTTTGAAGAGTCCATGGAGGAAACCTGAACCAAAAATCAGTAAAGTAACTTCTCCTAGCTACAGCCTTGTGGTGACTGAACAAGTCAAAGGAGAACTTTCCATGGTACTTGCCAAATCCACATTCACCAACTCCTCCAAATGGTAGGGTATCCGCTATGTACTACACAAAAACACATACTTATTAACTTTCCAGCATAAACAGCCAATACATGTGATTGTTTTTATTATTATGATTGAAAACTGTTACACCGCAACTTGTACTGTTTGAATAAACATTTTTAAAAGTATTCATAGAAAAAGAAAATATGAAATATTTTGATTCATAAGATAGAATTAACTTGTACATAAATTAATTTGTAAGAGATTACTTTTATTAACTTCTTCGAAAACTTTTATTTATTTTAATTATGTAAAAGTTAATTTTATTTTTCTGTTATATTTTTTTTAGAAGTATTTCTAAATAAGTTTATCAGGAAAAAACTTGTTTTACTGACGGAAACAATTTTTTTCACGTCCCTCTACTTTTGTTCGAAATGAGATGCCCCAATATTTAATTAATTAGATAAGGTAGAGAAATAGATAGAGATAGATTAATACTTGTAGAATTGCATCGTTGAATACAAGACTTCCCGATGATGTTTCAGATAGCAATCTTCTCTGCAGAGTTTGGTTTTTGGTGAAGGCATAAATTGCTAAAGGTTTAGGCCTTGAGTTTATGAACTCAACACTGTCTTCAATCTTATCCAGCTGCAAAAGCCAGGAAAATACAAATGAAACTTCACATCACATTCCTGGAATATTAATCAGAAAGGAATAGACAAAAAAAAATTATGCATCTTACGGTGATAATTGGAAGCACTGGTCCAAAGATTTCCTCAGACATGATTTCTGAATCAAGTGGGGGATCCAGCAATATTGTTGGTTCAATAAATCTGCACAAAATTGTTTAGGGGATAATCATGTAAAAGAAAACTTTAGAGGATTATATGCCAAGAAAAGAGAGATACTCACAAGTCATTTTCGTGCATTGATCCACCTACAACCACCGATTCTTTGACCTTTGGTTCAGTGAGAAAATTCTTAAGTCTCATGAACTGTTTTTTATTAACTATCCTTGCAATAGTGTTGGACTCTTTGGGGTTTTCTCCAAACATTTTCTTAATCCAGACCTTCATTAATGACACCTAAAGAAAGAAAGAGTAGAAATGCTTCAAGATCAAAATAACAGAAGGAGGAAGATTCTTTCAATTTTCGTACCAAATTGGAACTGAAACCCTTCTCTACAAGGATATAATCGATTGCAATGCATGCTTGTCCTGCACAAGCCCCAAACTTTGCCACCAAAATTCTCTTCGCAGCCACCTTGTGGTTCAACAAAAGAAACTCTCAGTTAGCAAATTGTTTTGTTCCACAAGTTTACACATAATTATATAAGTTTTGTCTTGATAAAAGTCTCTAAAAATATTTTTAGGGGGAAAAAAATAAGAAGAAAATTTTTAATATTTTTTTTATAAATTAAAACTAATATATAATGAAGTTTAAAATAAGATTTAGGAAAAGTCAATATGATAGAATTTGTTTAAGTATAAATTAACTTATGTATAAAATAATTATAATTTATATAATTTTTTTTTTTTTCTCTTTTAGAAGTAATGGATAGATTTACCACCGGAACATGTCTATAATCATGTTACTTTAACCCTCCTACCAGTACCACACCAAATAAAACTCCTTTCTCTTTTTGTGTTTTCCTTTTTTTTATCATGAGATGTGACAAGGTTGAAGGAGTATCCACCTCTCTGTCCCAAGAAAAAGAAAGGGAATCAACCAATGCTGGGCATTTTCCACCTAACTCCAAAGTCACTGGTGTTAGATGCACAGCTGCTGCAGACATAACAATCCTCCCAACCCTTGCACTTCCTAGTATTGGATCATACATTAAAAGAAGATCTCATCAAATGTTATGACTTATGAGTAATTATGACCAGAACACAAAAAAAGAAGATGGAAGACTAAGCTTGGAAAAGGTTAACCTGTGAAGAAAATCTTGTCCCATTTTTGCTGTAACAGTAGCTCCCCCACTTCTGGCCCACCTTCAATGACCTTAATGGCCTTATTGTCCAAGTAAGTTGGCAGAACAGTGGCCAAAAGAGAAGAGCAACTAGGAGACATCTCTGAAGGCTTTAAAACCACAGTGTTTCCAGCAGCTACTGCTCCTATTAGTGGCTCCAAGGATAGTCCTGGTTTAATAAAACCATAACTTAGTTGATCTGATTAATGATATTCAAAGCAACTTTTACAAACCTTGTTAATGATATTAAAAGAAAATTTTACGGACCTATTTCAATACAAGTTTAGAAAAATTTTCAAAAGTTTTTCAATCAAAATATTTTCTATAGAGAAACTCTAAAAATTCTTCTGAACTCGTATATAAACAGACGATCAATCTTTCGATTTGAATTAACTCACCAAAAGGGAAGTTCCATGATGAGATTATGAGAACCAAACCAAGTGGCTCAGGAACTAGCTCTGCACTAGAAAGCAATGCTATCTGTGGCAGTTTGGCCTGTGACAAACATCAAATTTTGGTTATGGAAGGAAAAATCTTGTGCACTCTTTGATGGCAGCTACCAGAACCTCACCTCTTTGGCCGCCATCCATTTTTTCAACGACTTGGTTGCCAAGTTTAAGGTCTTCATTAACGTTCCAACCTGCGAGTAATCATAGATTAATAATTAAGAAATGAACTTAAACAAGTATACTATTTGCTAATAGTATCAAGAGTCACATAACACACCTCATCTCTGAAAGCCTCGACGTAATGCTTCCCCAGATCATGCTTGAGGGCCCTCACAATTTCTTCCTCTCTTTCCACTATAAAATTTTGCAACCCTTTGAGCTGTGATTCTCTCCATGACGCGTCCTTTGTTTTTCCACTCCCATAGTACTTCCTCACGCTCTTCAGATCTCTTTCCAAAGCTTCCACAGAGCGCTCCATGATGTCAATTGTCATAAATAAAGAATTTGATGCACTGCTACTTATCTGCAACATGTATATATAATCTCCACTCAAAGTGTCAATTTGGTTAACATCTCGTAATCAATATTCTCACCTGACACGTTCTAAAGAAAAGTTTATAGTTAATATTATTTTGGACATAAGTGTAATTATGCTGAACAGTTAAGGTTAATTATAATAAATTTTAGGCTTAATTACATTATCAGTAGCTCACTGTCTTCAATATGCAATAATTTTTGTTTCCAACGTTATAATTGTGTCGATTAGGTTCTTTGTTTCCTCTCATTTACAAACATGCACTCTAATCTTTCATCCCATGTTTAACTGAATTAACTGGTCTGACAAAGTGGACATGACATAAAAGGTACCAGACTGTATTAACTCCAGCCTCAAGGCCATTTGGATAATTTGTTAAAAGGTACTAACGAGAAAGGAAAAAATATAAAATAAATTGAATTTATGCATAAATTAATTTGTAAAAGTCATCTCATGCTAATTATTTTAAAAGTTTAGTTCGGATAAATTTTTCTGTAAATTACTCCCTTTATTCCAAATTATTGGTCATTAAGGTTAATACACATGATTAATAAATATTTAATATAATAAATTTATCCTAACAACTTTTAATTGAATTAATAGTCAATCAAGTGGTGATAGAGATTAGGTAGTATGCATAAGATTCTAGTTTTGAATCTTATTAGGGTCAATATAATTTCTATGGAGAAAAGAATCAACTTTTATTTAATATTTTATTATTTCAACTTTATTATCTCATTTTTGTAAAATCAAAAATAAAAATAAGAGAGAATTACACGAATAGAGAAAGTACTTATTAAATAAGGTATAATTATGGTCGGTCTAGAACGAAGTCAATAGTCCTTATTTTAGACTCTTTTCAAAAAAATATTTTACATCAATATTTATATAATTTGTTTAAGTCTCATAACTCAAAAGTTATTTTTTTTGTATTTTTAAAAACTCATTTTAAAAGGCTCATCTCTAAAAGATATATAAATATAACTATTTTTTCAAGATCCATCTCTTTACGGGATAAACGTTTATTATTTATAAATAAAATTATAATAAATTACAAATAGAAATAAATATTATATTTAAATATATAAATTATATTTAAAATTTATATATTAAATATTTCATTATTAATAAGTTATTCTTAAAATATTAAAATTGAATTCATAAATAAATAAATAAAAATTAAATAAATAGTACTTAAAAATGCTCTAGTTGTTCATATTTATATACAAAAGTCAATTAATTCGGTTTTCAATTTGTTTTTGGATTGAATTTGAATACTCTACCCAATAGACTCATTAAAACTAAATCAAATTGATTCAATATTTTCTTTTTAACTTGTATTTCAAGAGCTCCATATAACTTTATTTTAGGGGTGTTCATGGATCGGTTTTTTCAAAAAACCGATTCAAACCGAACCGAACCGTTTTATAAAAGTGGATCGGTTAACCGATCCATTTTTTATAAAGTGGATCGGTTTGGTTTTCTTAAAATATGAATCGGTTTTTTTAAAATTGGATCGGTTCGGTGCGGTGCAGTGCAGTTATCCACTTTTTTACTCATATATAGATCGTTTTTTTTAGAAAATCAAACCGAACCGAACCGATCCACTTTGTAAAAATGGATCGGATAACTGGACCGGTTTTATAAAGTGGTTCGGTTCGGATTTTTTTTCAAAATGGATCGGATTTTTTAATATGGATCGGATCGGTTATGAATCGGTTCGAATAAATTTGAATTTTTTGCACACCCCTACTTTATTTACGAGCATTACTGACAAGAGTATCCGCTTCAACTAAATTTGCCAGCATTATTTACATGTTAAAATAACTATTTTCAACACTATAAATTATTGAGGTTGAATCACTTTATTTTTATTGAAAATTATTAATATTTGAATGAGAATGAGTTTAAATCACATAGAGAAAAATAAATATCATAAATCTCATACTTAATCCATTCAGTTACATCCCTATTTGAATCTAACAAATGGTTAATTTAAAGTTCAGGAAGGAATTTGTGGAATATAATCGGCGTAAAAAAAGGTTAAGATAGTTAAAAACATGAAGACCTAGGTTTAATCCTTATTGCAACCATCTTTGTAATCTTTTCTATTTTAAAAAAAAATTATAACCTATATATTGTTGCTCCTATAACTCATTAGCACCGATACAATAAACATTTTTTTTTATTTTATGTTTTTATCTTCTCAGATTGATAGATTTAGCACACGTACGGGTTTTTAAATAAATGAAAAAAGTTATAATCACTTTTACATAAACGTATTTAAATGATATATATTTTTTTTCTAATTTTTAAAAATTACTAACTTTTATTAAAATAATTTCGTTAGTTAAAATGAAAAAAGAAAAAAATTAAACATTAATTTATATTTTATCAATTATATACGCATTCATTTTTATTTTTGAATTACATGTAATATTATATATTTTTTATGAACGTTTTTATTATCTTTTAATTTTGAAAATAATAATTACTCAAGTCTTTTTTATATTATTTTTTGAAATTAGTATATATTTTCTAAATTATAACACTCATGATATTTAAAATATAATTTGATAGTTAAAATTGAATATAAAAAAATTAAGTCACATTCAATTGTTAATATTTGTATTAATATTTTTTCTTTTTTAATAGAATACAAATTTTTTTATATAAAAGTCATATGCATTATTTAAATAAATAAATAAGAAATGTTAGTATAATTAGAAAGAAAGAATATTGTGTGTTATTTAAAAAATTCCAAATAAAACCAGCCGAATTTTCTCAAATAAATAGTTTTGTAAACTGTGTACCGACAAGTGTTGCTCGTATGGAAAAGGTTTAAATGACACAGAAATGTTAAATAAAAAAATGTTAATATAACTTTTTTTATTTCATAACTAAAGTGATAATATGAATTTATTCCAAATCAAATAATGTATATAACTTTCTTATGTTTTTATTTTATTATTAAAGAACACGTGTGTTAAATCACCTGCCTTTGGTATATGACTTTTTTTTTTTTTTTTTTAATTTTAATACTATGGATTCAAACCATTTTTCTATACTAATTTCAACCATTTTGACTATTTTATACAGTTTTGAAATTCTAAAAAAAAAAGATCTTCTAGTGCATGGATAGGTCAGTAAATTAGTTCTTAGACAGATCGGTCGAACCAAAGAGTTCGATTGCATTTTTTAAATTATTTTTTATAGTTAAATTATAATATATTTATCTTAATGATGAATTATGGTTTAAGAAATAAAATCACAAATAAATAAATTTATCATATTTATACGTGGGTGATTGTTTTTTATAATAATATTTCTAGGAGTTATTTTTTTATCTTATAACTTCTTATCAAATTTAATTTTATTTATTATATATATATATGTATATATATATATATATATATAATTAAAATTAAAATAATTCAAATATCAATAATTTTAAATTCCTTAAATTTGTAAAATTTCTCATCCAAACACACCATAAAACTACCATTAGATTGTTTTTAGTAATTCATGATAATAACTTAATAACTTTTATTTTGGTATTTCTTATGTATACGCTTTTCTGATATCCAATCTTTTAAATATTTCATTATTTTCTTTTTGTGAAAGTTTTGGAGTTCAAACATTTTCATTGTTATTCTAGAAAAAATTATAGGAAGATTTTGTCAATAGTTAATTTTTTAATAGTACAATATAAATTATTTATCTTAAATATAAAATATATTTTTTATATTTAAAAATATTTATTTATATATATTTTAAATATAATTTATATATTTAAACATTGTATTTATTTGTATATATAATTATTATAAAAATTACTTATATATGGTAAATATTTGATCTGTGAAATGTATAATCTAAAATACTAAATATTTTAAAAGGATGATGTCCTATTTTTTAATATACTCTAATTAATTTCTAATTTATCCCATAAAAATAATATATTAATTAAACGAATGTAGCACTTTAATATAACTACATAAAAATTATATCTTTACTTTGTGAATAAAAATTTTAAACTGCAAATATCATTATAGGACGGTAAAATATTTAAGTTGATATGAGTCATTTAAATCAGATTCTTTGTGGCACATAAAAATGACCTAAAATCATAGTGACCTTAACAAACCCTAAACCCTAAAAACCAGAGAATTCAAAACTTACGGCTCTCCACTCCTAACTTGACAGACAGTCCTTTCTCTCTGAGTTGGTAAACTCATGAATTCACCACACTACCACATTCATTACACTATTTTTTTTTTTTAATTTTCTTTTGTTACAGCATTCAATTGCACCTAACATCCTCATGTCATGGACAAATTAAATAATTAAAAGTTGTACCAGTTTTTTTTTTTCCTTTTTTAGAAATAATGAATTAGAAGAAAAAAAACAGCAAAATTAACCTTCTGGTTAAGAAATACCAAAAAGCCTTTTAACAAAAGACTATTCATTCTAAGCATAAGTGGTACCAGCTGATAATAACATTGCTAAAATTAATTTTAAAACCCTAAAATTTCATTCAAACTTTCATGTATAAATTCATTTTCCTCGTTGCACAAGTAAACAAAAGGCAATTATTATGATGTATAAACATTTTATTATTATTTATTATTATTATTATTATTATTTTTTTCCTATAACATTGTATCACTTTCTTTCTCCAAATATTAAATAGATTTTGGTATCCATGGATATTTTTTCTTTATCAAACTTATCATTTTATCAACTTGATTAGTTTATACTAGTACGATAAACAGCCAAAATAACATAATTTATATTATGCCAAAATGAAAAGATACGCACTCCCAAAAAAAAAACAATTTTTTTTCACATTTATTATTTTATTAATATTTTAACATGTATAATGTTGAAATAAAATGTTTATTGTATATAACTAAAATTTATAATAAATTATTGGTTAAATTATATTCTCAGTCTTTTATATTATTTTAGTCTTTTTTTATTAATTTTTTTTATCTTTTATCTTTTATATTTTAATTAATTTGATCTTTTTTAAAACAATAATTTTTCAATTTTATA